TGTGAAGCTTTTGTTTTAAAAGATGTTAGTTTTTGACACTTTTAGCAATTTTGTGTTACGATCTTGAGATTTGGCAAAATCTGTAGCTGGAGTTGCAATGGAAAATCCTGCAACCTATTTTGAACCATTGGATTTGATGGTAATCTCACAAAACATCAAACAAGGATCCGACTTCCTCCATGCCCTTGAAGCTTTGCAAGATAGATATTACAATCTTGTTTTAGTTCTGTCTCATGAGCTCTCAACAACTACTGAGCTACCTATTGTATACTGGGAATGTCTTTTGATGTATCTACATCATGGAAGAGACCACGACTGGTATTATGATCAAGGAACCTTCCAAAGGCTTGTACATAAGCCCAAGAGCATAGAGGAGACTGGTCATCTTCCTAAAGGAATTGTTCATGTGTATTCCGGAGATGATAATTGCTGTAAGATTTTATCTCTTGTCCGAAATTTGCTTGTCTGTCTATATCTGGATTGATTAACTTTCATAGTAGTATAATTTTGTTGGTTGATTGATCTAAACCAATTGTATTCATAATGTAATTTGTTTATTCTCTCTTCTTGTCAGGGGCAGGGTCTGATATACTCGTCTTCTGGAATGCCGAGGACTCAATCAATAGAGTTTATGATCTTTATTGCCATATCAATCGTGCCTTGAACACCAAGGGTTATCTTGGTAAGGTGTCAATCATGGCGTATACTGACAATAAAGAGTTTACAATCCCTTACGGGTCTTATGCCCTGGAAAAATTAACCAAAGGTGATGAATAGTCCACTTTCTTTTCTCTGTTTTTTACTTGTATTTATGTATGTAGTGTCAATCCCTCTTGTTTTATATCTTCCAGGAGATGATGGATACGCCAAAGTTACTAGGATGTTCTTGGACATGCTATTCCTTGTAATGAACAAGGATGAGCCTACTCATTTCATTATGATCTCCAGACCTTCTCAATACATCATGACTAAGTGGGCCAATGTCGTTCGACCGTTAGAAGCCAGAGGTTCCAATGTGATCCTTGGAGCCTCTGATGCGATCCAATTACCATTCTCCATTGACAGCTTAATACGTCTTTGCAAAGACGGACCACGTTTTTCTTGAAGGGTTACAAAATACCCTGAAATACCAGAATTTTCATGTAAGATCCATCTCTTTCTCGAAATTATTTTTCAAACTAATTTTTTTTTCACACTTCCTATATCTAGGGTGATGGATCTAATATTTTGTGTTCATGATATCTTGAAACCTCTCAGCGACTAAACTATGCATCTTCTGGGTCATTGAGAAGTTTCCATCCTATCCGATGGCGATAAATTTTATTTTTGCGAGAATGAGTGCAACCCTTGAGAACAAGGGTTACATAGTCGTCGTGTGTTAGTGATTGCTTATGTTAATGATGAAAAGCTGACAAAAGTTGATACAGTAGCCGGAATGACAATCACCCTTCTACCTGAAGGTGAG